TTTTTTTTTTTTTTTTTAACCATAACGGCTCTGTGTGACCTAAATTTGAATATTTGTTGCTAGAGCCCACACTCTTACGTACTCCGAAAAGCACAAAACGCAAGCCCTTATTGTTTGATTCCGACAGTAAGTAATAACACCTGTCACAGACAAAAATAAAAACCCAACATGGAATATCCGACTTCATGTAAAAGTGACTGTGGAAGTCTGGTCTGACTATGCATACCAAATGTCAAGCCCCCCGGTAATCGGTAATCCAGGAATTTCAGGAACCCCGCCTTCAGGCAAGAGCGGGTCCAGTCTCCCCTCAGGGACAGGCTTAACAAACAGCTGGTGAGGGAGTAGCCTGCTCTGGTGGATACCTTCTCTTACAGGGCAAGTATCGTAAGGAGTAAACTGGTCTGTGAGGACTCTATTTAAAAACTACTTTTCCAGGGGCGCCTGGGTGGCTCAGTCGGTTAAGTGTCCGACTTCGGCTCAGGTCATGATCTCACGGTCCGTGGGTTCGAGCCCCACATTAGGCTCTGTGCCGACAGCTCGGAGCCTGGAGCCTGCTTCTGATTCTGTGTCTCCCTCTCTCTCTGCCCCTCCCCCATTCATGCTCGGTCTCTCTTGGTCTCAAAAATAAATAAACATTAAAAAAAAACAAAACTATTTTTCCGAAGAAAATCTTTTAAAACCTCCCCTTGGTAATCTCAAGAAAAGTACTTACCAAGAGAATGCTTCATTGGCCTGATTTAGGCACAATACTATTACAATATATTCAACACAGTTTTATATATTTTCATTAGGCCAACTGTGTCCATTTCAAATCCTAATCTTTTAACATAAAAATAATTTGATGAGAGGTGCGCCTGGGTGGCTCAGTCTGGGTGTCTGACTCTTGATTTAGGCTCAGGTCATGATTTCAGTTTGTTTGATTGAGCCCCAGGTTAACTCTGCGCTGACAGTGTGGAGCCTGCTTGAGATTCTCTCTTTCCCTGTCTTCCTGCCCCTCCCCAGATTGCACACAGTACTCTCTCTCTCTGTCTCTCAAAATGAACAAACTTAAATAAACAGGGGCACCTGGGTGGCTCAGTCGGCTGAGCATCCGACTCCAGCTCAAGTCATGATCTCACGGTTCATGAGTTTGAGCCCCACACAGGGCTCTGTGCTCACAGCTCAGAGCCTGGAGCCTGCTTCAGATTCTTTGTCTCCCTCTCTCTCTCTCTGTCCCTCCCCAACTCATGCTCTGTCTCTCCCTCTCTCTGTCAAAATAAATAAACTTTAAATAAATACATAAATAACTTGAGAAGAGACCTAAATTTCATCCACATGGGATTGGGTTAATCAACTGTAGTACATTCTAACAAAGGAATCCTAGCCATCAGTTTTTCAAAATTAGCTTAGCATTATAAGTAATAAGTACAAATGTATAAAGATGCATGGTCTATACTATTATGTTTAAAAAAAAGCAAATGAAGAGCTACAGTATATAATTTCATCTTTGTAAAAAACTTTAAAAATACCTAACACGTACATATACCTGCATATACCTGGAAAGAAACATTAAAGAATTAACTCTGGCTGTAGGATTTGGTGACTGGAAACTACAAGATGACATTTTTTTCAATAATATGTTTCTGACCTTTTTTTTACTAGGAGTATTTATTGTAATTAAAAATGCAAATCTAGGGGCGCCTGGGTGGCTCAGTCTGTTAAGGGTCCAACTTCATCTCAGGTCATGATCTCGCAGTCCGTGGGTTCGAGCCCCGCGTCAGGCTCTGTGCTGACAGCTCGGAGCCTGGAGCCTGTTTCGGATTCTGTGTCTCCCTCTCTCTCTGCCCTGTCCCAACTCGTGCTCTGTCCCTCTCTCTCGCTCTCTAAACATTAAAAAAAAATTTTTTTAAAGCAAATCTAGGAAAATTCTTGACAAGCATGAAGAACAGGGATTCAAAAGCACTGCAGTTTAAAAGGAAAATGTTGTGTATTTCCCGAATGCTACTACACAGGATACACAATCACAATCCCATTCGCCTCTACAGCGTAGGGTGCTTCCGTGTGGCGCATCTCACGGGGTTCTCACCAGCACCTCTATAAAGCTGGCAAGGTGTGTTACCTGCAGTTCTTCGATGAGGAAACTAAGCCTCAGGGCAATCGATTCTGTTGTAAAACCAGTAAGTATCAGAGAGCCGGGACTCTGGGACAGAGTGCCTCCAGTTAAGAAAAAGGCTGGCAGGGGCGCCTGGGTGGCGCAGTCGGTTAAGCGTCCGACTTCAGCTCAGGTCACGATCTCGCGGTCCGTGAGTTCGAGCCCCGCGTCGGGCTCTGGGCTGATGGCTCGGAGCCTGGAGCCTGTTTCCGATTCTGTGTCTCCCTCTCTCTCTGCCCCTCCCCCGTTCATGCTCTGTCTCTCTCTGTCCCAAAAATAAATAAATAAACGTTGAAAAAAAAAAATTATTTAAAAAAAGAAAAAGGCTGGCTGTCGCACAGCCGCTGGTCCCGTGGAGCTGGTGATGCTCGTCTAGCTCCTGATGATCGATGTCAAAGCCAGACGAGATGCACGAGGGGGCAGTGTGCAGCAACAGAAACACCGTGGAGCGGTACCAATGTTCCATACAAGCAGCAACCAGTAGCCTGTGGCTCCACTGGCACCCTGCTGAGAACAAGTAACTCGGTCCTTTTTTTTTGTTTCCGGTGTTTATTCATTGAGAGAGAGGGAGGGGGAGGAGCAGTGAGAGAGGAAGACAGAGGCTCCAAGGTGGGCTCTACACTGACAGCAGTGAGCCCTGTACGGGGCTCGAACTCATGAACCACTGAGATCATGACCTGAGCTGAAGTCAGATGCTGAACTGACTGGGCCCCCAGGCTCCACAAGCAACTCTGTCTTTGAGTAAAACTCCACTCGTCATCAAATGTGAAACAAATATTTAAAAAAATAAAGTCAACATACACTTACCTCTATTGTTCCTGTGGCAAACAAGCCATGTGCTGAGTTTATGTCACACACATTATTCTCCCTAAAACAGGAAAGCAACAACAGAAAGCTTTATTATTTATTTTAGCGGAAGGGATACTCGGTGAACTTTCCACATAAACAGCCCAGTCTTGTACAGAAAGAAAACATGCAAGTTCTTCCTCACTCACCTGCGCGTGAAAAAACACCAGAAATGAAGGACACTCAATCTGCCAGGCAGATGAGACAAGAGAGGAATTCCCTCTGAAATACTATCTCCCACCATGAGAACCGAGGCTCATGTGACTTTCTCCATGTTTTCTCCCCCCGCAGAAAGAACACGGGCAACCACTAAGCCAGTCCTGAGACCAGACTAGTTTGGGCCGGGGAGACTCATCGAGGCTTCCTTTTCTTTTTCTTTAAAACGGACACTTCACCCACCTCTTTTGGTTGTGTGAGGGTTACATGAAAAAATTTACAAAACGTGCAGCACAGCATCCAGACAAGACACTCGACAAATAAGTAATAGCTACCATAAACAGGGAAGTGTGCAGCGAAAGAGCAGATAACTTTTTATTATTCAACAACACATCATGAAGCTACTCTAGTTTTGTTTTTTTTTTTTAAAGAAAATAAGAGCGCTGCAAGCCAACGTGAAAACATTAGCCAGGGTCTACCTAGTCTTTGTCACCACATGTCCTTCCAACCTTTAAAAACCTTTTCAAAGCGATAAGGAAAACCCAACAAGTTCTTTATACACTTGGAGGAGAAGTATCTAGCTTCTACCCCTTACTAGCTATGTGACCGTGGTCTTATCCTCTCTGCGCCTGAGCGGTCCTGTCTATAAGATGCAGATACTAATAGTACCTACCGTAAAATTGTTATAAGTTTTGGTTTTTTTTTTCCTTAATTTTTTTTAACGTTTATTTATTTTTGAGACAGCATGAATGAGGGAGGGTCAGAGAGAGAGGGAGACACAGAATGTGAAACAGACTCCAGGCTCTGAGCTGTCAGCACAGAGCCCGATGCGGGGCTGGAACTCACAGACCGCGAGATCACGACCTGAGCCGAAGTCGGATGCTTAACCGACTGAGCCACCCGGGCGCCCCAAATTGTTATAAGTATAAAATGAGCTAATACATATAAAATGCTGAATAATATCTGGCACAGAGTATTTTCACTATTATCACTCTTACTGTTACTCAATATTATGATTATGACAAATGTATTCTTAAGGATTTCTCTTTGAATAAGACAAAAATGTAGACTATAATGTATAATCAAAGGAAAACTTGAAAAAACCGAAAACGTCTGCCAGCAAAAACACAAAAAATAAAATTTTAAAAATGAAACTCCAAGTTAATTCAAAATGTCTCCACGAGAGATTAATATCACAGAACAGAATCATGAGAATTGAAAGAACACTGCAAAAAACAATAAACCGGACTTCTTAGTGAGTTATAAAAATTTTCTAGTCTGCCAAAAAAATTAAAAGTTTAAAGAAACCACCAGGTCTTCTGGTGAATTTTATGTTCAAGACAAATTGAAACTCTTTTTAACCAAGTTGCCCAGAGCTCTGCTTAAATGCAACAAGCTATCAGATAACTTGAGCGTCTGGCTCCCCCTCCTGGCCGAGAGAAACACCCGGATTCTGAAAAGACACTCACGCAGCATCCGTCTGCAGCGGGTTCAAGTACCGTCCTTGTTCTAAATTTAATCTATAAACTTCAGAGCTGCAAAGTAATGAATAAAGTTAGAAATCTGGTAAATGGCAATGAACTCTGCTTCAAGTAAATATAAATTTTAGAAACCTATATATATATACACATACATACATATATACATTTCTGGCTTACAAGGCATTACTACTCTCCAAAAACACCAAAATGTATCTTAAGCCTAACAATAATCACCTTATTTGTGAGTCTGTTCACGTATAAAAGTGATTTAAACAACTCACGTGACAAGGAAATATTATGGACTTATTAAGAAGAATATTATTTAAAAACACAGAGAATCCAAGATCCAAAATGGATCTATAGGTATATATAAGACGAGAAGAAATACAATAAAACACTATTAAGGCGACACGATTATGGGGTTTTTTTATTCATACTTGTGAAAATATTCTCCCAATTTTCTAAAATGATTTATCATTTTTATCATCATATAGAAGGTGGTATTTAAAAATGAGGTTTCAAAATGTCATGCGATGGGGTTCCGCAACCGACTTCACCACCACTAAGACCGCTATTAGGTACCCATGTTGCTCTAGATTCAGAGCACGCCGCTAATAAAAGTCAATTTCTAAATGAGCAGTTACTTTGGAACTATACCCTTTGAGGGACCATGTCTTATCCCTCTCTTGATTCCTCTCCTCGATTTTAAGAACAGAAGTTGGAGGTGGAAAGGAGAAAGCAAAGGTGATCAGCCCCAATACCTCGCGCCAACAAAGTACAAGTCACAGGACGGATAGTGGTAGGAGAAATCTCTCCCGAACTTTGGTATTCTGGTTTTGTAGTAAAAACCCGATTGTGAGTGAAATTCGATGTATCTATCATTATGTAAAAAAACAATCTGAAAATGAAAGAAGAAAATCAGTTTGCTGAGGTTTCTAGGAAAAGCATTTATTTCATCATCACTAGAACTGACAAAGCAGGAGAAACTGTGATCTCTCCCACCCGCTCTGTGTGCACAAGTCTCCATGGTGACCAAGGACCGGGACTAAGAATCAAACCTCTGCCCTGCCTCCTTAATGCCTTCTTGCACCCCAGGAAAGCTTTTCTTGCCCTCTGAGAGAGACTGAAAACAAATGCCCTTCGTGCACCTGGCCCTGGCACTTTAGAGCACAGAGCAATGTTTGGCAACTTCAGAGAGTAATCTCTTACTTTCCTGAAGAACACAGTTTAATAATCTCACAATTACCACTCAGGGTTTGATAAACTCCCTGTATCAACCTAATGTTAATATATTACAAAGGTATCTTAGAAACTGCAGATGGTATTTAGAAGCAAATCCATCAATACCTAGGGAAAAATACACTATAAAATGGCATGTCCCCGAACACATGATTAATGACCACCACAGGCAAAAGAATCAACTGGGCTCCAGTCTCCAAACTGAGGACAATACATAAAGCCACGTCAGCTCAGAAAATTCAATTTTCCTTCCAGATGACATCTGACGTCACTAAGCTTTTATTTTACTTTCAAAAACTTTTAATTTTAAATTGAATGAGGTACTCTACTGACAACTTTGTAACTACCGAAAACGACCTAAGGGTTGAGAGACGGAGTAATGGGACCAAAAAAGAAAAGAAAAAAATATATATATTTAGCTGTGTTTCGAGCTGTCTCAGAACTGTTCCACAACTACCTATTTGCAGTGTTAAGAAAATTAAGCATGTAACAATGTTATTTTACTTTTCACATACGAAAGCAGCTTGGCAAAGAACACCAGTGTCAACGTAAAAATTAAAAATCACAAATCTACAATCTAACATGGTCTGAAAAAGATGGCCGCTAACAATTCTTGACAACACAGATGAAGTTTCATATGCGATCCAGGAAACTTATTTTGGTATTAGACTGGCCAAAGGCTATCGCTATCACTGTCCTTTTAAAAGATATTCTATATATCACACGTGTGTCAAACTAAAAAATATATTCATAGAAAATAATAGGTTTTATTTTACCACACAGCTATTTTTAATGTAACAACAGGAACATTACAAAAATACTTCTCATGACTTCTTGAGGACCCAATACTATCAAGCGTACCTTTGAATAGTCATCAGACAAAGTTTCAAAGGTGACAACTGAAAAACAAGAAAACAGTTAAGAAAAATTACAATTACCAATCCACATTCTTCATAACAATGCAAACCTGAGGCAAAGGTTCCAATGCAACACAAAAACTATGTACAAACTATATATAAACACCGGATCCCCCCCCGCCTTTTTTGTCCTTCCATAAAACAAGAAGAAAGCTGCCATATTATATTGACCCCAAAACACCAAATGGAAAATTAAAAGCTTTATAATTTCTCAACGCAGATCAACCAGATTTTCTGCAGAACTGAAGCTAATTAAATAAACTCACAAAACATAACGACTTCTAAATTCTACCAGTTTGTCGGAGATGCCCAAAACAGACATAGAAGAACATTAAGAAAATTATTTCTTTAAAAAAGAGAACAGCAGCTTTTTACTCATTCGCCCACTAAACATAAAGAGTACAAACGGCATGTGGAGTTTGTACTGTTTTTAAAAAGGAATGGGTGAAACAAGCTGAAGAATACTTAGCCCATTACCTGTTTTCTCTCGACCCCAAACCCCAGCAGCCTGACAGAAATACCTGCTTATTTCCTGCCCTCCCCCCTGTGCAGTCAGTCGCCTTCTCTGCAGAGTGGACGGAGCCTATGAATGCGGGGAGCCTCCTGTGACTACATCGCAGGCGATGGCGAAGGGGAGATTTATCATCACGCGAGCCCTTTAAAATCAGAGTTTTCTGCTGCTGCCGGCAGAAGGGGAAGTGGGAGAGAGACTCGAAGCAGGAGACGGACCCAACGACCAGGTGCTGGCTTAGCAGCGAAGACCAGGTGGCAAGGAACACAGGCCGCGGCTGCAGGAAACTGGAGCCTCGGCCCTACAAGCACAACAGACTGCATTCGGCCGACAAGCGGAAACCGCGAAGCGGCTTCTTGCCCGGGGCCTCCGAGTAAGAGCCAGGTGGGCCTGGCCGACACCCAGAGGTCAGTGCCGAGCACAGAACACGGCACAGCCTGGATGAACTTCACCTACAGGGCTACGAGCTAACAAATGGATGTTTTAAGCTGCCACACTCATGGGAATTTGTTACACAGCAAAGAAAACTAACACACAACGCATTCCCATTTTAAAAAGCAGAAGAGTTAGGGCGCCTGGGTGTCTCAGCGGGTTAGGTGTCTGACTCTTGATTTTGGCTCGGGTCATGATCTCAGTTTGTGAGTTCGAGCAGTGTGGGGCCTCCTTGGAATTCTCTCTCTGCCCCTCCTTCTCTCTGCCCCTCCCCCCGCTAGTACATGTGCACCCTCTCCCTCCCTCTCTCAAAATCAATTTTAAAAAAATTTAAAAAGAAGACAACTATCCACATATAAAAATGCTATTTTCATGAACTCAAATTTAATCTCTTACTTACCTTCTGAATCTAAACACCTTTCAAACTTCAAGGATAATTGATAGGTGTCATAACATCGAACCCGAGGTTTATATGTTCCTATAAAAAAGATTAACGTGATGTAAAGCCTAAAGGAGGTATTTTTCACTGGCAATATCCTGCAGACAGGTTAAGTACACTTTTTGTTTAGAAGTAAGTAGGATTCATTATAACCACATGAAAGAAAAAGAATTTAAAAGCAGCCCTCCCCAACATCCCAAGGAGAAAACCAGCAAAGTAGATAAACAAGCAGGTCATAGAAAATGAAACACACGTAACTACTAAACTTCACAAATAATCTGACTAAGTAGACAAAAACAATGAGACAGTTACTGTCCGTCAGAATGGCAAAGATTAAAAGACGGTTAATATCTGTGTAGGTGAGAGTGTTAAAAAGGCACTCTCATACACTTGGTGATTAGTATAAACTTCTCTGGAGGACAATCTGGCAAATCTGTAAAATATGTGATGTTTGTACACCTTGAATCTGTATTTCAACTGATACAAGTTTATCCTGGAGAAACACACCCACAAGTGTACCAAAGACACAAAGGGTGTTTCCCGCAGCGCTGTTTACAACTGGCCAAAAACTGAGAGCAAATAAAACGCATACTGACGTGGAAATGGTTCAATAAATGATGGCCAATCATCACATGGCTCACGAGAGGATGGCCCAGGCCTGTGCCAACGGGGAAAGCCACCACAACATGCCACCGAGGACAAGAGACAGGGCAGAGAGCACAGGGAAGCGCCCCAGAGTGGCGCCTAAGGTCCCACGTCTGTATAAGTCAACACTGACGGCATGAGCACCATGTACAGAAGAAGCTGGCGGAAGCACGGTGATGATCCCCGTGAAGTGCAATTCTAGGGCATTTCACATTGTGTCTTCTGCAATTCTGTAATGTTTGCATGTTTTTTAAGTTTATCGTGTTTGCAATCAAAAAGAGAAAAAGACTGGTCTTTAAAGCCAAAAGATTTTTTTTTTAAAAAAAGGAATGAGGTAGTTCTCGAATCCCCGAGACCTCATTTAAAAATAGTATGTAGTAGGGGGCGCCTGGGTGGCTCAGTCAGTTGAGCGTCCGACTTCGGCTCAGGTCATGATCTCACAGCTCGTGAGTTCGCCCCGTGTTGGGCTCTGTGCTGACAGCTCAGAGCCTGGAGCCTGCTTCAGACTCTGGGTCTCCCTCTCTCTCTCTGCCCTCTCCCGCTCATGCTGTCTCTGTCTCTCAAAAATAAACATTAACAAAAAAAAATTTTTTGTAATGGTTATGCAGTATAACATACAAATATACACACACATGTAACACGTTATATACTATATAACTGTTGACATATTTAAACCATATACAGTATATATAATTCATACATATGAACTGGAGACTAAGAAATGTGTTAATACTGAGACAATCATCAGCACGGAACAAAAGAGACTGGCATATAGATGTATAAAAGTTCTGTCAAATAAGCAAGTGTTTGGAAAGGAGATATAAATGGATATAATGTTAAGTCAGCAAAAAAAAAAAAAAGTGCACAATACACAGGATTAGGCACCACGATCACAGTCAAAACACACACTGGATAATGCTCTTCTAAATTATAACATGTTAAAAGTTACCTATATTTCAGGGCTTTTTGATACTAACGAATAAATACTACTAATATAGAATGTTAGTGGCATAAAAAATATTAGTCCATCACACAGAAAATTATGTTAAAAGCAACCCTTCCCGGAACTTTCACTCATTGTTGGTAGGAATGTAAAATGATCTTGACCGCCTTGGAAAAAGTCTGGTGGCCGCTCATTAAAGCGAAACATAGGGGCGCCTGGGTGGCGCAGTCGGTTAAGTGTCCGACTTCAGCCAGGTCACGATCTCGCGGTCCGCGAGTTCGAGCCCCGCATCGGGCTCTGGGCTGATGGCTCGGAGCCTGGAGCCTGTTTCTGATTCTGTGTCTCCCTCTCTCTCTGCCCCTCCCCCGTTCATGCTCTGTCTCTCTCTGTCCCAAAAATAAATAAGCGTTCAAAAAAAAATTTAAAAAAAAAAAAATAATAAATAAAGCGAAACATACATCTACCCTACGGCCCAGCAATGTCCTCCAAAACAAGCCTGTGTAACATTGTCCACCGTGCTTTATTAATAATACTAAAAAATGAAAACAGTCCAGGTGTCCAGCAAGTGGAGAATGGATGGATAAACTCTACTACATTCTTATGAAGAAATACTATTTGGTAAAAAGAAAAAACCACTGACACCTGTGCCAGCATGGACGCATCTCAAAGACCTAAGAAAATAGATCTCACATAAAAAGAATATGCAGCGTGTGACTACAGTTACATCAAGTTTCCCACAGAGCAGTGGTTGCCGGTGCATGGGTGGGATCAGGATGGACTGTGAGGGGCACGAAAGAAGTTTCTGGGTGAGAGGCAAGTGCTAGATCTTAACTGGGGTTTCGCCTACATAGGTGAATGCATCTGTCAAAACTCCTCAAAAGATCTGTGCGTTTCACTGCATGTAAATCTACCTAAAAGAAAAGCCGTAGATAAATACGGTCTGGTTAATGGTACACATGCTGAGGTATTTACGGGAAAAGTATACTGCTATCTGCAACCTGCTCTGAAATGCATCAAAAAACGGGATGGGGGCGCCTGGGGGGCTCAGTCGGTTAAGCATCTGACTTCGGCTCGGGTCATGACCTCGCAGTTTGTGGGCTCGAGCCCCACGTCGGGCTCTGTGCTGACAGCTCAGAGCCAGGAGCCTGCTTTGGATTCTGTGTCTCCCTCCCTCTTTGCCCC